GCCTCTTTTGCAAACATGCTTTCTAACCACTTTCCCTTCCACCGCTATTGTGCGAAAGGCGGAGCTTCGATTGATTGCAAAGGGTTAGAGGGTACGTTCGCGAAAGAGGTGCAGAGTCCCGCGCGAGGCGGAGATGCTGGTGCACCGACATTGCGGTTGATAAGCCCTTTATCAGCATCTCGCTGGCACACATCGCGTACAAAGTACTGAGGAAAACCTTCTGCTTTTTTTATACAGCTTGAAGCTCGGAGAACTGTTTAAACATGGGTATATTAGCTTTATTCTAATTTCATCTGATTATACATATGATTATGATTTAGAAGGTGATCAAACTTCTCATTGATCTCCATTCGATTTCGCTTATCACCTTCTAACGTTTATTCTTAGCTAAAAGCTGGGTGAAGGTTTCTATAGTCGTCCTCATCCCACTAGCCTCTCGGTGCTCGAATTCGAATTTGGATGGAGCAGACGGATGGCATCAGCGGCGGTAGACGCCGCTCTCAGTCTAATTTCGCATTTTTTTCGTTTTCTTGCTATTTCTCATATAGCAACAATGTCCTTTATCAGCTTCAACGATTTCGCTACTGCTAACCGTTGTCTCGTGCAATCATGCCCTTTTGTTCCACGTTTTTTCCAGGTAAACCAGGAAAAACGATGCAGTCGGAGATTTTGTATGACAGCCTTATGTGCAGCAAGAAACCACATGCTGCACATATATTGCTATGCACGGCGATTACCGTTGCATTGTCCAAAAAATTTACCTATATTTTGTGAAGGCTCTATTTTTAACAAGACACACATATAACTTTCTAGAACATACATGTACACATTCTACTAAGAATATGTGACATATTTTACTAGACATATTTGTGCTTATGATACTTATCGGAAAAAAACGAGTCATCGAAAAATCTTCAACTGCATCGTTTTTTGGGTTCACTTGGAAAAATTGTACAGCAAACAGGCATAACTGCAGGAACAACAATCAGCGGTAACTACACGCAAAATCTTACAGAGGACGTTGCTGCAATGGAGGAACAGCAAAAACACGAAGGAAACAAAAAAGCCAATTGCGAACTTTGACTGGGAGCGGCATCTGCAGCGCTGTAACGCTAACCGTCTGCTCCGGTTCAAATTCGAATTCAACCATTGAGGGACTACTGGCGCAGATGATTATACCTTTTGCTGGCCGTTTTACGTAATCACTGGAATATGAAAATTCAAGGGGGGCTTGATGAATCTTCACGTTGAAGCACAATACCAATTGTCAATTGTACGACCTTAGCAACCATCCTATGCAGAAGTTTGCTTAACGGCTTATTGGAAGTCACTCCACCCATTTTGTACAATTGAACTGATAACGGCAAGAAATCACTAGAGCTTTGAATGAGGATATGGAGTAATCATCATTTTTCATTCTCACCAACGGTTTATTGTGGTTGAATTTCGAGGACACCTCGAGCTTATATTTATTCATTAGGTGCTTCCATTCGCTAGCTCATTGGGCTCAGTCAGCGGAAAACGGTCTCTGGCGCTGTGATGCAAGTTTGCATTTCCAGCGAACATTGTGATGATTTCTACTTGCGTATCAACAGCATCCTCATTCGACGAACAGATGATGCAAGAAGTGTTGGATCAAGCAATCGAGGTTAGTCAGTTCTTTCCCGCATCGCAGACTTGAGAGGATTTTAGGACACGTGCCGAAACTTTCGTCTGCTATCTCCTTACCATAATGATCTCAACAAAGGAGACCAGGAAGTAAAAGTATCAGGTAGCTGTAAAGACCAAAGTTGGAAAATGGATGCTAAATGCTGTGTTGCAATCATTGCTCTAGATCAAAATATGAAAGTGTTCAATACCACAGAAGATCTTACCGTCGACGAGGATTGTGGAATAACATATGACGGAATGATCTGCAAAGAGAGAGCGAAGAAGTTTCCGACGTCGTACTACCACGTGGAAGAGATGAACAAAGGACCAGGCAAGCTGAGATTCCTTGACTATTTTCTTACTTTGAAAAGCAAAAATATCAGACATGAAGAGAACCAAAAAATCACTTTTAGTGGATTACGCTCCTCGTCTGGCAAAGATTCCATCGCAATATCAACTCGAGTCGTTGACCGAAGTGTATATGTGCGATTACCCCTCGATGAACAAATGGTAGGATTGCTTTTATGAAACATTTCTTGTTTAATCCACTTTCTTAGCTGTGACAAACCACATGGAGGAGACGTTGAAGTTGATGCTTCTTTGACAAACATTCCACCAGATCGAATTGCTCCCGTGACAACGAAAATCTGCCAAGTGTTC